TCCAGTCAGGAAAGCTAGCAATGGCTGGGGGTTCGTCGTGCTGACCACACGTCACCCTATATCTGGTCGGATGATCGTTCACCTCTGCTTAGGCATGTGGACGTGAGACCAGCAGTCAAGTTAGTCGGCTTTGGCTCTCTGGAGCTGTTACTCCACGGATTATTATTATTATTATGAAGGAAGAAGATGAACATATTTTGTTGTTCTGTCAGCAATGATTAACACAGCAAAATATTTACTTGGCAGAGCGAGTTTCACTGTCTTTGGATCTCTGTGACCAGTCCAGGAAACAAGTGTAATCAAGGCTACACATGAGAATAACATGGTATTACAAGTTACTGCCATGGTCAGCATCAAAGTGCAAGTGTAGATTGGGAATAAAATGCTGAAAACAGTTAAAGCAAATCCTTTAAGAGCATTTAATAAAAGCAACAGTGAGACATGGCTCCAACCCAAAGTTGAATTTTACTTTGTATTTACAAATGCGTCGCATGTTTTGTGGATAGCATAACCAGGTTTCTTCCATGCAGAGAAACATACAAGCAGACTCTTACATGATATCCAGCCTGCCTTATGTAATTTTTATACTGCTGAAGGAAGATGATGTCCCGCGTCGTAGCCGCGCAGTCCGAGGCATCATGCTTCGGACTGGTGATACAGAACGCGTGCTGGTTCGAGTCTCGGGGGAGAAGAAATTTTCTCGTGAGCTTTCGGCCAGCGTATGGGACCGGTGCCAACCCAGCATCCTGAGGAAATTGGGGAGCTACAATGAGTAGCGTACTCCAGTCAGGAAAGCTAGCAATGGCTGGGGGTTCGTCGTGCTGACCACACGTCACCCTATATCTGGTCGGATGATCGTTCACCTCTGCTTAGGCATGTGGACGTGAGACCAGCAGTCAAGTTAGTCGGCTTTGGCTCTCTGGAGCTGTTACTCCACGGATTATTATTATTATTATGAAGGAAGAAGATGAACATATTTTGTTGTTCTGTCAGCAATGATTAACACAGCAAAATATTTACTTGGCAGAGCGAGTTTCACTGTCTTTGGATCTCTGTGACCAGTCCAGGAAACAAGTGTAATCAAGGCTCTTTCATCAATATTTTCTCCGCAGATGCGTTCATAAAATTGTTGCAAATGACTTTTTGTCATTTAATAGCTTGCGCTGGCTTTGATAAAAATATTTTTAAGCTGGATTCATGGGTCATATGATCAGTGTTTTTCTCTGGATGATCTCTTCTAAACTTTCATGTTCTTGGAAGTAAATATATACTTTCTGGTGCAGTTTTTCTGCTATAGATGTAGCCATGTCAATGGCATATGGATGCATTAAACTGGTGGACGTGTGGGCAGTCCTCGATTTACTTGCATAGTTAAAGTTCCCTATTTTTGAATCAGCTTTGGCACCTTCTCATGATACACATATATTACTTCCATCGCATGGTCTGTAGAAGGCGTGACTGTGCCCTGGCAGGGAAAAGGCTGTCACCACTGCACTCAGCAACCCACAATTTGTCAAATGCACACGCTTTTGTGTGAAAGTACATGGTTGACTGAAGATACTGCCCTCGTCAGTAAAGGAGTAAAAAAGCATATAGTGCTATACTAGA